GTGGCTTGCAGGAGTTCTCTTCGTGGCTTGCGGGGGTTCTCTTCGTGGCTTGCGGGGGTTCTAAACTGTTGATTTTGTCCGATCTTGGGATCTCGTGGCTTGCGGGAGCTCCTATTTGTTGGTGTTTTGCTGGATTTTGCTAAAATTTGGGGGGTTTTGCTGGATTTTGTGGCTTGCTGGATTTTATCAGCGCCTTGTGGCTTGCGGGGGTTCTAAACTGTTGATTTTGTCCGAAGCTAAGTTCTCGTGGCTTGCGGGAGCTCCTATTTGTTGGTGTTTTGCTGGATTTTGCTAAAATTTGGGGTTTTTTGCTAGATTTCGTGGCTTGCTGGATTTTATCAGCGCCTTTATTGGGAAAAAATTGGGGTTTTTTGCCGACTTTGATCTTCCTGGAAACTGATTTCAGACCTAAGGTATGATTCTCAACTCAGAATTGATTTGTTAAAAATTTTGTATGATTTGAATTATTTAGGATGAAATTTTGTATTTTCTATAGATATCTAGAAATTAACAGAAATTTATCTGAAAATATAATTGTAATTAACTAAAAATGTTACTGTAATTAACTAAAAATTATATTAATTATTATAAATATAATTGAAAAGAGAACAGAAATGAACTGACAATTATCTTGAATGGTCGTAATTAGGATGAAATTTTGCATTTTCTATAGTTATCTAGAAATTAACAGAAATTTATCTAAAAATATAATTGTAATTAACTAAAAATATTCCTTCAAATATTATTATAATTAAGTAAAAATTATATTAATTATTATAAATATAATTGAAAAGAGAACAGAAATGAACTGACAATTATCTTAAATGGTCGTAAAAGAAACTGAAAATATTGATGAAAATATTAACTGAAAATTAACTTTAGATCTTGTTATGTGTCATTTAAGTTTTGATTATTGACATTGCATGTGAATGCTTGGTAGGTATATTAATTATTTCAATTTGATTTTTGCATCGTAGATGGATGGTGATGGGGATTGTACCGATGAACAAAGTGTTGTTAATGTGGTTCAAGGTGCAGCACTATATGTTCTTGTTATAATAATTACATTCATAAGGAGAATGCAAGCTAGACGTAAATCTATACGTCGTGGTCCAAGTGAGGAAAAAAAAAGACAAGAGAGGTCTAGAATTGAACATATAGAGCGTATTTATAATGGTTTTAGTGATAGTTGTGTGAATTATATTAGAATGCGGAGTGGTGCTTTTGTTAAGCTAGTAAGTATAATGAGGAACAATATGCTTCTAAAAGACTCAAGGAATATATCAGTGGAAGAACAACTTATCATGACACTAAATATTTTGGGTCATAAATCTAAAAATCGCATTGTGAGATCTCATTTCATAAGATCAGGGGAGACAGTCAGTAGATATTTCAACAAGGTTTTACAAGCAATTATCTGTTTGCGTGGACGCTACATGAGACAAGCCATCAATTGTACTCCCCAAGAGATCGTTAACAACCAGCTATACTATCCTTATTTCAAGGTATATCTACATTTTAACCACAGTTATATGTATAAGCAATAAAAATAAATGATAACTTAGTAATGTGATACACGTATTATAGGATTGCATTGGTATGATAGATGGGACTCATGTTGATGCAATGCTTCCGATTAATCTTGTTGCACGATTTCGAGGCCGCAAAGGTGTTACACAGAACGTGCTTGCAGCTTGCACCCCAGACAAATTGTTCACATATGTCTTAGCAGGTTGGGAGGGGTCTGCAAATGATTTTAGGATTCTCCAAGATGCATTATCTAGACCACAGCCACATGGATTGAAAGTCTATGATGGTAATTATATAAAAATTTAACTTATACTATTTTAAATTTAATATGCAAAATTGACTTCTTTAACAATTGTTTTAATAAAATTGTAGGCAAATACTATCTGTGTGATGCTGGGTACCCTACCATGCCAGGTTTCATATCTCCATACTGTGGTGTTCGATATCATTTGAAAGAACATTCGGGTAAAACACCTAAGAATAGAAGGGAATTATTCAATTTAAGACATTCTTCTTTGCGGTCTAAGATTGAATCTGCATTTGGCACATTGAAGAATCGTTTTAAGATTTTGTGTGCTAAGCCGCATTATCCATTTCCTACACAAGTAGATATCGTATTGGCATGCACGATACTTCATAATTTCATCATAACTGTTGACCCAAGCGATGAACTACTCAGCGAGTCCGAAATTGATGAAGATATTGATGGTGAGGTGACAAATGAGAATGATAATAATTTAGTTGATTTTACTCAGACTCAAACTCAAAGAGAACAAACTGAATCAAGAAATGAGTGGAAGACCCTTAGAGATAACATTGCTTGGGCGATGTGGGTGGACTATTGTGATAAGTATAATCATGGTGTAACTACTGAGACTTAATTCTCATATTTGTTGTACTATTTATGCTCATGTATGTAGTGACAATTTGATGGTTTGTCCACTTTTTAGATTTTGCTTTTCATTCATGTAGTCATGTTCTTATATTTTGCTTTGCAATATCAATCATGTATTCATGTTCTTATATTTTGCTATGCAATATCAATCATGTATTCATGTTGTTATATTTTGCTTTGCAATATCAATCATGTACTCAATTTGTTCTTATTGACTTAATTAGTGATGGCTGATACTCCTAAAGGCAAGGGTGTAGCGCCATCTCAACCTCCACCCTCTCAACCCCCTCAGTCATTGCATCAAGGCGATAGTGGGTATTTTCCTTTTCAGCAGTCATACTTTGGGCAACCACCTCATGCATTTCCCACCATGCCATTCCATGATGGCAGTTACTTCCCGATGCATCCAAGACTGTCATCATGGAGCCTGAATTTTTGGATAGGTGGATTGAGGTACATAAACTATTTTTACATAACCCTTGATTACTTATCTTATTTACATGTTTTCATTGAATTAATTCAATTATACTTTTCAGGACAAGAGCTTTAAGAATGCTAAACTTAGACAATATGTCAATAAACCCTTGACTCACTACGATGATCTTTCCCTTATCATCGGGGATGATCAAGCTAGAGGAGAATTTGCATGTGATGCTTGGAAAAAATTTAGTCGTAGTGAGTCCATAAATCTTGGAGATGATGGTGACTCGCCTTTACCTGCCTCACAATCCCCTCAAGTACACATTTTAGATGAAGAGGACACTCCTCCGCCTAAGGAAACACCCGCCATATCAAGTTCTAAAGCAAAGGTATGTGTTGCTAAGGGAAAGGCTCGTAGGAACAACCTAGAAAATGAGCTCATGTTAAAAATGGTGGATAAGATAGATGTATTTAGCGCAAACATGAAGTGTGTAAATATGCATTGGACCGAGAAGTTATCCACGGTCATATATGCTCATTTACAAGATTTTAGTGTTCAAAAGCTAGATACATACTACCGACACTTATATTTGAATGAGCATGAAGCAAAACTATTTATGGGCATATCATCGGTTGGTCAAAAAGAGATGATTGCTACCTTTCTCAACGAAGGGGGTTGAAGACCGATAGAAGAAGTCTCTACGTGGTATTTTGTGATTCTCATTTCTAACATACTTGTGAAATCCACTTACTTTTGGTGATAATGTTTTTATTGTGTTTGTGGAACATTATGATGATGGAACATATTGTTGTAATATGTAGTAAGTATTTATTTGCTTCCATTTTGTAATATTTATCTTCCATGATTAATATCATTTTGTGGAATACTAACTTTTGTAATTGAATTTGTGAATGCAGGATATTTCCTAAGATGCAAGCAACCTACAATGTGTACACATTGTACTGGATGGCTATTGCTCTGGGGCATTTAGGTATTTGGTTTTCGTTGGTGATTTTTTTATTTTTAGGCTATGATGATTGTCAATTTTTCTGAGATTAGCAACCTGCAATATCTATTGATATTGCATTGGATGGCTAACAATGATGATATTGACCAAGTTCTGAGCCCTAAGCTAAACACAACATGTGCTCAGTCTATGTTGGTAGTTGTTGTTGTTGCTGGTTGCTGGTTCTTCTGATTTGGTTGTTGCTGGTTTTTGCCGGTTGCTGGTTGGTGGTTTCTTGTTGTTGCTGGTTGCTGGTTAGTTTGGTAGTTGGGTTTGTGGTTTCTTGTTGTTGCTGGTTGCTGGTTAGTTTGGTTGTTGGGCCTGAATGTTTCTTGTTGTTGCTGGTTGTTGGTTAGTTTGCTGGTTGTTCCTTCAGTTGTTGTTGTTGTGTCCAGAGTTGTGTTGTTGTGTCGTTTGGTTGTTGGGCCTGAATGTTTCTTGTTGTTGCTGGTTGTTGGTTAGTTTGTTGTTGTGTCCAGGTTTGTGACAACTTCCAGTTTTGTGCACACCAGTTTTGTGAGCTCACTGTTTGTGGATGCTCTGTTGTTCATCTTCTATTTGAGCTAATGTTTTGTGGAGTTCTATGTGTGCTCAGATTTTCCGTACTATTTGTTGATTTTGATACTGTTTGTGGGTGTTCAATTTAGGCTATGATGATTGTCAATTTTTTTGAGATTAGCAATATGCAATATCTATTGATATTGCACTGGATGACTAACAATGATGATATTGAACAAGTTCTGAGCCCACAGTCATAATTCACATATACTGGATGGCTATTTGCTATGTTATGTACTAAAATATGGCTATTCAGGCCGTTTATATGTTTTTATAGGTTTCAGAAATTTTTTTGGCTAATTCAGGTACGTATTTCATAAATTTATGAATAATCAGGTTATTACAGGTCTTGTTTATTTTTTCTTCGAAAACAGGTTTTGTGTGATTATTTTCATCTCAAACAGGTATATCATGTCAAATCAGGTACGCAGTTCATGTTACAGTAGGTTTCAGATGATTTCAGGTTTCGTATGATTTCATTAATACAAACAGAAATTTATAATTCATTCGGGTTATTAATATTTGTTCATGATACATTCGCACTTTTATATGATTAAGATTACATCTCATAACTAGCACAAATAATTTTTGTCTATAGTGGGGGGTAATCTTACCATGGTGACTCTAAACACTTTTCCCTACACACTTCAAAACCAACCAAACACAAGAAAAGTGGGAAATGTCAAATCAACAAAAGTTTTCCCTTTTTTTTCTCATGCAAACCAAACACAAGAAAAGTAAAAACATTGGTTTCTCACCATTTTTTTGTGCGAACCAAACCAAAACAAACTATTTCTTGGAAAAGTTTGGAAAACTAAAAACATTGGTTTCTTTACATGGAATTACATTTCCCTATATCTAGGAAACGAACCAAACAGCCCCTTAGGTTATTTTGAACTTCAGTCTCTTCAATCAAGAGCAGAAGTAACAGATAAAGGCACTAATTTGAAAATAATTTATGAGAAGAGTAGTGCTACATGGACCCCTGAGAGGACATGTGAGGTGTCAGCCCCTGGGGGGCTGACACCTCACCTGTCCTCTCAGGGGTCCCCTTTTTTGGGGTCCCTGAGGAGTTTTCCTTATGAGAATTGAAGTACCTAATGACAATTTCAAGGATTTGAGAAAATTTTTTAAAAACTAATATCGATAAAGAACTCATATGGCTTTGGATGGAAATGTTTACTATGTGCATGAAATGGACCAAGGAATTCCTATTAGAATGTGCACCGGAAAATCATCCAGGGTAGAAGCAAAAGTCGACATGTATTTCAGAATAGATTTTAAAGTTGATGGTACTAAATAGCACTTATATTGTACACTGACTGTGATGATCAAGATTAGCACCAGTAGCATGACAAATGACACATTCTCCTTCCTACTAATTATTTTGGAGACTCGCCATAAGATCGTCTTAAATATTCTTACAATACTATCATTCTAACATATTGTTATATATCCATAAATGTTAAAAGATTCTAAGTTATGATTGCGTAGGTTACAGCTAAGTTCTTATTCTTAGAATTACCAATTCGAAATTACTAAGTGCTAATAAAATATTAGGGTAATTGCATATTAGTCCTAAATCATCTTTAATTGCCAAAAGTCCCTCACATCTTAATATTTGCAAAGAAGTCCCTCAAATCATCAAACTTATTGCCAAATCATCCCTCTGTTAAATGTACTGTTAAACTTTCTAACTATAGTTGGGTTAAGCCTTAATCCAATATGTGAAATTACCCGATTGCCCCCGAGTATGAAGAGGAATGAGTGTAATGAAGAATTTAGGGGATTGTATAGGCTTTGGAGGGAAATTTAGCCGTTGGAATAGCTCCAGTTTGGATTTAGGGGAGAGGGCCGTTGAGGCGTTGAAGAAGAAGGCTTGATGGGTTGCTGGTATAAACCTATTATCAAGTGGATTGGTGAGCTGTTAAATGATATTACTAAATAAGGGTGCGGGTATAACGGGAAATTTATACATTCCCGTTTGAGTTAGCAAAATTTCACCCCCTTCAACTAACCAAAGGGACGGTTTGGCAACAAAATTGATGATTTGAGGGATTCTGCGGCAAATACTGAGATTTTGAGGGGCTTTGCATCAATAGAGATGATGTAAGGGATTAATATGCAATTACCCCTAAAATATAATCGGGAGAGGTCTCTGCTTTTGACTTATTAAGTTTGTTTAGACCACGTTACGATGTCCTGGCGAACATCACAACACCCAAGTTCTCTCTGTTCTATATATGTTTTCTGTTTTACTTTTTGTTTTCCATCTTATTTGGGATTCAACGAAGAATGGAGTGAAGAGATGGTTCAGTTAACATCTGAAATTGGAGCCCATCACAGGGTAAGTTCTCCTTCACGAGTGCTCGGCCGTCACCGGGTCAGCAATTTTTCATCCTTCTGTTGAATTAATCAGGAAATTAATCGAAAAAAGATGGCTCTATAGTCTACATAATAATAATAATTATAATAATAATAACCGTTTTTTTGCTCATTTTTTTAATGGAAATGGAAGCCCCGATTCTCTTTTATTCACATATATACAGAAAACCCAGTAACAAGAAAAGCAATTTGTAGTTAAGTACTTGCTAATAATTCTGTCTGGGGGTTGTTTAGTTATCTGCAACTTGCTGTTTGGCTCTGATACCACTTGTTATGTGCGGCGGAAACCAAAACCAAACCGATGTGCTTCGAGAGACCAAATCAAACAAACCCCGAGAGAAGGCCAAACACAATCACAATAACGGCACAAAATCACACAAACTCACCAATTAATCTCACCAACAAAGCTCTAATTCTCTCCAAACAAAGCCCTAACCAATAACTCAGAAAATACCTCTTTTCTATGCTCCAAATATCCCCTTCGCTGCTCCGTGGACGTAGGCAACTTGCCGAACCACATTAAAATTGATTGTTTGAATTTGTGCTGTTATTGTGATTGTGTTTGGCCTTCTCTCGGCATTTGTTTGATTTGGTCTCTCGAAGCACATCGGTTTGGTTTTGACTTCCGCCGCGCACAACAAGTGGTATCAGAGCCCAACAAGTGGTGACCCAACACTTGCTTGGTTCAGTTCTAAAATTTTCCAATCTATAGTTAAAGTTGCAGGTGCATGTGTTTGTTTTGGTTGATTAAGGTTTCTGAACTTCAAATTGGATTTATGACTGCAGTTGCAATTGTATTTATTAGTTACAACGAAACAAACGGCTGCAGTTGGTCTCAAGTGTCTCCATTGTTAGTTGGCATTTTCAGGTGCAACTGACGAGACGCCGATCATATGTATTTACGAAGAAGAGTGCAGTAGCTTTCGTCGAAATTTGAAGTGCTGCCTATATTGGAAATGGAGAATGGAGTTCGAAGATGGCTAGTGAACACCTCAAATTGGAACCCATCTGAGGACCAATTCTCGTTCTTCCTCTCTTTTCTTCCACTTCATGAGCAATCGGCTGTTATGAGGTTTGTGATTTGTTCTTTTTTTCGGTTCAATTCTCTGTTTTTTTTTGTTTGATTAATCGATAAACTAATTGAGGAAAGGCTAGCTAATTCTTCAGCATTATGAGAATAATCAAAGGCAATCTAACAGTAGTATGATTTAAGCCAATTTGCGGAAAGTCTCTTTCAATAAGTTGAACTAATAATACTAATGATAATCATATATTTATGGTTTGTAAATTTTGTAAAATGCCAAGTGATCGTAAAGAATTTTATTTCTAGTAGTAAATTGAAGACTCAATCAACAAATACATTCAATAAATGCTTAATGATATCTGAAACTACAGGTTATCTTACAAATAATGTGCTTCATTAAGACATCAGAGGTGAGTAAGCAACTTTCCAATATATTTATAGTTGTAGGAACTTTCCAATATATTTATAGTTGTAGGTTCTATGAGTTTGGTACTTTGCAAGTCCGTGATCCTTCCAACAGATCCATCTAAGTGCATACCCATCCTTTGGTTTGTTTTCTTTATCCTCGTTACCATACGCTCACTTATTGAGCAAAAATCAGTGCTATGTTCTATCATAAATTGATCCAGTATAAATTCTTTTAATCGTTTTTCTGTCAATGAGTTACCAACAACAGACTTGAATCGTGCCAAATATTGGTACTTAATTTAGTTATGTTTCTAGCAAAGCATATGCTGCATGAACAATGTATTTGCTAATGTTTGAAGGGAGAACGCTTTAGCTTAATAAACAAAAATGTTTGTCAGCTGAATATTTAAATATTACGCCGAAGCTAGCTATTCAGTGTTTAACATAACTTTAAATTTGATCAGGTTTATCAAGTTTGAGGACAAGAAAAGAGCACTAGTGAGTCGATTACTTCAGTACTCCCTTGTGCATGAAGTTCTGGGCATCTCTTTTGACAAAATCATCATAAACCGAACAATTGAGGGCAAACCATACCTGGTAATAATATGTCTCGTAACATCATTATATGTTACTGGGTTGATTGAAATTTATTGCTGATTATACCAATTTAATTGGTTGCTCTGATTAAGTTATTGCATTAAAGCAAGACATGATTGTAGGTCAATCAAAGGGAGGTAGCATAAAAGTTTCAATGATGTTAATTAATCTTAAGCTATTGCTCTTGTATAGAGAAAGCTTTTACTAGCTTTTCACTGATGTTAATCTTAAGCTATTGCTCTTGTATGGAGAAAGCTTTTACTAACTTTTCAATGATGTTAATCATTAAAGCAGCCAGCCCGCAAGGTTCGCCCCTTAATTTCTCATTCTTTTTGTTCCTCTTTCTAAGAATGTCACATTATCATGGTAACCTTTTCGTTTTCCGTGTATACTATGATCATACTTTGATAAAAATATATTATTGGTAACCTTGGATTCATAAAGTGGATCCTGAAGTATCTATTTTTACTCTATTACCTGTAGCAAAATCGGGAAAATCTGATTTTTCCAAATTTTAACTTCAATTCATCGCATCATGGAGACTACGTGGGCATAGCATCGGAGCCGATTTGCCTGGTTGGACTGGACATTGTCCGCAATACCATCCATAAGAACGAAACTGCTCTCGAGTTTATCAATAATTTCTCATCGCATTTCACGGATTTAGAATGGAAAGACATCAATGGTGCACGCAGCTCAGATGAGATTATGTCCGTGTTTTACAGGTAAAAAGTAATAATGTATTCGTAGAGGGTTTTTGAACTGAAAACTTGTCCTTTTCTTTTGAATGGCTTGAATTTTTTCCCCCTCCTCCTGCTGTGAATACTAAACCTTCATGTGTAGAAAAAACCCTTCCTTTATGTAATGAAAGGTTGTAGTCTTTCATCATCACTGAGAAAGGATTTACTCACTACTAGAAAATGAATTTTAATTCTTTGGTTTTAACCCTATATGTACTGTCACATCCTCACGTCTCCAATCATTTGCTTGCTTCAAGAGACTGCTCGCAATCGGGAGATGTACAAGGATAAGATGGTGAATCGTGCATAATTACCCTGAAATGCTTGTTTTTTCGTTAACATCTCAAAAGTTTAAAGGGTGCTGCGGCCCTTTTAGTTTATTAAAAAAACAGGTTTTGTGTCTCCGACCCTTTGGTCTATGCGAAAATGGGCCACCAAATCTCTAGTCAGCATAATATGTCCGTAGTCCTGTTCGACCATCCAAGCCAGCTTACATTCGGTATGAGTCTTATTGAACCTATATTAGTATATTTGTTCGTTTCGTAGATATTGGTGTCTGAAGGAGGCTTTTGTTAAAGCCACTGGTGCTGGCGTGGGATTCGGTTTGCAAAGATTGGAATTTCGCCACAGAAACTGGAACAGCATATCAATTTACGTAGATGGCGTCGAATCAAGAGATTGGAGGTTTTCGCTTTTTCAGCTGGATGAAGAGCATTGGGTTAGTTCGTTGCCCCTTCTTCATTCAAAAGCTGGATTTATGTTGTCTATTTGTTAAAGTTTGATGACAGGAAAAATTTTATTACAAGGATTTTCACCTTGCTTATCCTCTAAATTTTTATGTTTATTGTAGGCAGCAGTAGCAAGAGGGCATCCAAATGGAGCAGTTGACAGTTATAAAAGAACTCTAAGCTTCTTCGATTTCGATGAAGAGAGAGATTTTGATCGTTGCCAGGATGGTGGTTTTATTTCACGCTCAGTAGAGCAGCTCATTCCCTCTAATATTGGGAGCGTGAGAGGGTGAGAGAATTTTATTGTAGTAAAATGATACCTAGCTATTGTCTATAAGTTACTCAGGAAAGAAAAACAAATTCACATTGCAAACTTTTGCAGAAAATCTGAAGCCCGGGATTGTAAGAACCTTTAAAGTGAAAGCATAATTCAAGAGACGCTCTCATTAAGTGATTTGTATATGGATTTGGATCTTCTCCATTACAAAAAAAAAAGTAGTGGAGAGGTTACTGTTGTTGTGCGCAGCGGAAATTTCGGCAGCACCTCCGGTGCGCAAGGTGCACAACAAGAGATTAGATCACAACAGAATTCCTGTTTCACAAAGGAAACAAGAACCGAAAGTAAAATATCTCAACAAAGTGAGATATCAGCTCTTCCTCTCATCAATTTTAGGACTGACCTGTCGATGGAACCTACAAGCTATTACAAATCACGGCAAGAATATAAATTTACGTGGTTCGGTAAATTGCCTATGTCCATGGGGCAAGGATGGGGGAGATCTACTATTAGAGGAAGAGAATACAACTAGTGTTTACAATCACTCAATCTAAACCCTCAAACAATCTCTCAAATCCCTCACACAAACACGAGAAAACCACATCTTGTGATCAGCTTCCCAAGCTCTTCACGCGTTTTCACTTCACGTGTCTTTTCACGTGGCACTCAAAAACCCGCTGGATCTTAACCATTTCTCTTTTCAGCCACACGCTTCCCCAAAGCTCTGGATCACGTGAATTCTTAGCCTCCCACAAGAAAAAAGGTTCCGCTTGTGGCCCCCACAATTCTTCACCTCGGCGAAGTTTTTTCAAAACTGAGCCGACACCAAAGCATCCAAATATCCCACTTGTTGTGTCCAGTACGCCGTGAAACAATTCACGATAACGGACTCAATCCATAATAAGTCGAGAACCCAAATGAGAATGCGAACACTCTAAATGTCGGTATCAACTCTCAAATCGGCTGCATTATAAAGACTGTTTACGTATCCTCTTGCCCAAGGAATCAAGCCTCACGTAGTTCATCAAATGGCCTCCTAAGGCCTTAATCCACTAGAAGAGTTCGCATCTCTTCTCCAACATCACGATCAAGTCTACGGCTGATAGCACATCCAATGACCCCAAACTGAAGCAATCCAAACATCTTCATATGAGATGAACCAATGGCCATATCTAGACTCCATCTATCAACTACACTCGAATCAATCAACCTATCATCTGCATCCGAATCAACATGATTCCTAATCCGTGTCACATCAGCTGGAATCCTAAATGATACAGTATAATCTGAAGTATGTGGAATAATCTCCACCTAACATGGAGTAGCATCATTCTCCATCCGATGCGATGTCCTAATGATTTGATCACCACTCTTCACCTCCCGAGAGTCAAACATGACATATCTGCTCAGAACAAAGTCAGAAGCTAATACCTGATAATCAAACACGCCTCTGACTCCCAAATGTGCTATCGGATCAAATCTCACATCCACGATGTGACCAAGTGCTGGGTAGCCAAACATCCGACATAACCCAAAATTTAAAGCAGCTCCACCAGATCCCATATCTCTACATGCAGCAGTCAGCAACCTATACATAAGATGGTCCAAACATGTCGTAACCCGCACACCAATGCCAATGCTTAACATCAAACGCCGATCTTACTCCAGCAAGGAACAGCTCTCCAAATCTGCCATCTCGCCTCGTCGCCTCAAAGTTTCCACACCAATGAAGTATCTCCTATTACCGTGAGCTCGGCACAAACGCAAGAAATAACCCCTACCATAATCAGAACGTCGGGTTACCTTTCTACCAACACACTTCCTCCATCTGTTACAGGCTTCTAGGACTTCACACCAACGGGACTTGGTTGCAACCTACCAATGCCTAGAACAATCCCCAACTGCGAAAACTACATACCTATTACCTTCTAATAATGCTCCCTTGGAAGGCCCCCGAATGCCTGAATGAACACCCCTCAGAAGACCCCTCGAATGATGGATAGAAGTGCCAAACTCCACCTTAGTCTTCTTGCTCATACCAATGGGTTCACAGGACTTCAAACTGCAGGTCAAAGCACGCCTCAACAATCTATGCACGGTTCAAACTGCAGGTTCAAAGGACATAAAGAATACATTATAAAGCATATTTGAAATTTGAATCATCTATTTGTACTTATATAATGAATTCAAAAGAACAAATCAAAGCAAAATTTTCATACTTCAAAAGTAACATACAAGAATCATGAACTATGAATTTTAAAAACTAAAAATCATCTTTAAGAGTATATAACCAAACCATCATTGATTTTCATAAATGAGAGAGGTAACCATATCAAGCTCTTGAGCTTGTTCCAACCCATATAAGGACTTTTAGTACCCAATAAACAAGATTTGGGAATAAACACCCAATAAATCCGGGGGAGGGTTAAATAAACACAACCCTCTCATCAAAACAAAACTAATAATCATGAAAATAAAAGAATTTGACCAATAAAAAGAATTGTTTTTATGTTTAAAAAATTAAAGTATAATTTTCAAAACCAAGAAAAAGAAAAAGAAAAAACACTAAAATGTTTGGTTTAAAAATTAAATTTGTTTTGGTACCCAAGAATTCTTGGTACCAAGAGATTTAGGGACATGACCCAAATTAAATTTGTTTTGGTACCCAAGAATTCTTGGTACCAAGAGATTTAGGGACATGACCCCTATCTTTCAAGCTTAAAGTCCTAGGGTTATGAACCCTCTTGGGTGCATTTGGTGCACTAACATAGTCAAAGAAATAATCATTCAAATGACCCTTCCGATTATAATTTGTACAATAAAAGAGATCCATTTATTTTTGTGGACCATTAGCTTGTGCACGGGAACCATTTGCAGATAAAGATTGTTTTTTAAAAATATTTTACAAATGAGAAACATCGTTAAACAAAGATGGTCTATTTGAGAAATTTGCTAAGTTTGAACATTTTTTAAGTCACAATAAAACTTCACCAAATGGTCAAATCTACCACAAATATCACATTTAAACACATGTGGCCTACTAGAAACATTTGGCAAATGTGATTTTCTTTTCAAATCAAAACAATACTTGGCCAAATGATCAAAACGATCACAATGATCGCATCTATACACATGAGCATGCTTATGATGAACAAAGGGTGCATGTGTGTGTACATGTGATGAAGAAACTTGATGAAATGCACAAGGAGCATTGAAATTTTTATGTTTGTGTGCATCATAGCAAAATTTAGCTAAATGGCCTTTACGGTCGCAAATAGAGCACTTGTAAACTTTGCATCATAGCAAAATTTAGCTAAATGGCCTTTACGGTCGCAAATAGAGCACTTGTAAACTTTGCTATATATGTGTGCATAATGAGTGGATGATTTTGACTTAGACTTGACACACATATCCATAAGCTTCTTATGATTATTAATGCATTTTTTCAAAGTTGAATCTAAAGATGAAATACGTTTATTCACAAGATTCAAATTTTTATTATTAGACACATATGCATTTTTATTAGAAGTAGAACATAAACAGTCATTTATAAAAGAAACAGTATTATTTTTTATGTTCTTTACTTCTAACTTAGCATTATCTCTTTCATGAGTTAAGCTAGAAATGGATGAGGTCAATTTTTTATTTTCCAAATTTAATATATTATTGTTTTCTTTAAGAGCAACATTTTCATGAGTAATAATATCAAATTTGGAAGCTAACTTCTCATGATCAGATTTTAATGTAACATGCTTGCTTTGTAAATCAATAAAATCTTTATGCAATTTGTTATAGGCATGCAATAATCTCTTAGATGCACAAGTAAGTTTATCATTAGGTAAATCATTAATAGATTCAAACTCGCAAATCTCACTAGGGCTATCGCCTAGTGGCCGTGTGCATGAAAGTGAAGCTCCACATGAACTAGAAGCGAAATCCTGCAAAGCTTGTCGGATTGCCTCCAAATTCTCTTGATGTGCTTCTATAAGTTTTCACAATGTGTAAGCACTATCAAAAGAATCAAGCTTGTTAGAAAAAGAAGAATCGAACGTATTATGTAAAAATTCTAACAGAAGCTTGTTCATGGTAAACATTTTATGATCATCTTTACTCCACTTGGATTTCTCCAAAGTGGGTACAATATAAGTACAATCTATAATTTCCCATAAATCAAAATATCTAGATCGAACAAAAAGTTTGAATCTAACACACCATTGAGCATAGTGAAAAATATCCAAACGATGAGCAACATTAATGGCATAACCTAAACTATGTGCACCATGCATATCCATAATGTATATATGTGCAAGCAAGATACAAATAAAATCAAAATAAGATTAGCACAAAAGATAACTTGGGTCTTTAACTCAAGGTGATTAGACCTTAAATCAAAGAGCAGTAAGCTCTGATACCAATTGTTAGACCCTAGAGGGGGGTGATTAGGGTCTTATGCTAATCTAATCCGATTTTATGCTAATTAAAACTTATTAATAAATTATTCTTGCTAGATATATATACAATATGTTATGAGCAAGAATATGTAATATAAACAAAGAGATATATCCTATATGGTGAAATATATGCAAGGATATATAAACAATACAAGGGTAAACAATCTAAACTAAAGATACAATTGTGATAGGGCAATGCAAACACACAATATAATCATGGAGTTCGGACCTTCCATTATACGTCTCCGCTCTCCACTTCCGGGGAGAAATCTACTATCACAACCGTGTTTTTTACGCTCACCCGAATAACGTTTACACCTCACAATATTGGTTTTCAACGCTCACCGATCAACGTTCACAATCTCACAATGTAACTATACTCCATACCTTTAAGTGTTGGTCTCTAGCAGGTGTCCTTCCTCAAGTGTTCATAATTATCACCTCTCTCTAGGCTTTACTACCGACCCCACTCCTCTTAAAAACGACACCGTCTCTCACCACACACTCCTCTTGGTGTACAAGTGTATTACAAAGTGTATTTCACAATGAAGCTCTCAATACAACAAATTTATTCTCTACAATAGATGAGAACTCAATGTAGGCTCACTCTCTGAGTCACACAATCTCACAACCCAATTATACTATGTATGCAAATACAATAAGCTCAATGGTTGTGTGTGTAAACAAAGAGAAATAAAATCAAACTCAATTAAAGTCTAGCAAATATAAATATGACAATGTGAATATAAACAAGCTAGATAATTATGTTAAGAAAACTTCTCTAGAACAAGAGAGATGGGATGTGAAATGGAAAGCTCAAACCAAAGATGATCTCCTCTTCTTGTGAAACAATCTTCACAAACTTGAAACTTTTAACCCACACTTAAACAAAACTTAAACTCTTGTAAAAACTTGTTTAAAACATCCTTTGGTCATAGAAAATAGTTATGACAAATGGATATATATAGGGTAGAAGAAAACAACCAAAAAAACCCCCAAAAACCCAATAAAAAATAAAAATCAGCAAGTTACCATTACTGTGCAACGGTAACATTGGCGGTCGATCGTGACGGTCGACCGCGATAAGTAAAACTACAAAACTACTCTTAGGACTGCATACGGTCGACTGTGACGGTTGATCACACTGTAGCACGGTCGACTGTAGCGGTCGACCGTGAAAACTGACAGTTTCTGAAATCTGGAAATCTACGTATTTGGCTTTGTAAAATCAATTAAAAATAGTAAATCAACTCCAAAAATTATGAAATTTTTAGAAAAGGTTTTAGACATATAGATAAATATGTTAGAGAAAGAATTTCTGAAATATCATTTCCCAGTTGAGAGAAATAACTATTTAAACACAAATATATAGTTTCTAAAAAAACTACTGAAAACTCGGTTTTGTAAATTCAATTAAAAATAACAAAACAACTCCAAAATTAGTAAAACTTGGGAAAATATTTGTATATATAAAGATAAACATGTAAACAAAAAAAATTTAAATTTCATTTTCCAATTATGAAAACTCATTTGTTTTGCAAAAACATGCACGAACTTGTGCACGAACATGAACTTATTTAAAACTTGATTTTGTAAATTCAATTTAACATAACAAATTAATTCCAAAATTAATAAAACTTTGGGAAACATTTTATAAATATGAAATTGAACATGTTAGAAAAAAATTATCAAATTGAATTTCTTATTTATGAAAACTCATATATTTTGTAAAACTTATAAATACATGTGTACATAAACTTCTTGATTTTTAACTATTGAGTTAAACAATGTTTTAAAACCTTATAAAATGATTTTATAGACTTAATAGAATATGTATATAATGGTTGTTAAGTCCAAAAACCAATAACTCAATATTTTGTCAAAATTACTCAAAATCAAGAATTGTGTGTATGTGTGATATGAGCTTAGAGTATCTAACACATATAATATAAACTCCTAAACTAAATTACCCGAGCTTGATCTTGATCTTCAATATGCTCTTCTTGGTAAACTTACGGATGAAGCTTGAACTTGAATCTTTAACTTGAATTGCATTGCTTCACACCGATATTCCGCCAACCTCCATTGGATATGATCATTGAAGCTCGATTCCATCCATCCTCCAACATGTTATTTATCTATAATAAATAGATAAACATAAATACTAGACAAACAATATTAGTGGTAAATTGTTTGTTAAACATCATCAAAACAAAGAGGCCAACAGAGCACTCTTCAGCAACAAGGAGCTTTGGTACTTAGCTTAAAACCGATTTTCGATTCAAATCAACTCTTATATAGAGTTTAAATTCGCTCTGAGTTCTAAAACTCGTTAAGAGTTCGCTTCAAACTTGCCACGCAATTTCGTCCAAGACTTCAAGTCAAGAGGCGAAGACAACGTTCCAGTGAGGTGAAGCGTTCTGATTGTCAACAGAAAGCAAACTCGATACGAACATCGAGGGAGGCATTCCATCGACACCAAGAAGAACTCAGATTAAACAATGGGAAGGATCTCCGTCGATCTTTCTCTCTTTTGTAAATTAGAAATCCGATACAAGAAGATTGTAATTTCTTTTTCTAATTTTGTTAGAGAGAGATTACATTGAGAGAATTGTAATTCATTCTTTTTCTAAGTCAGTTAGATAGAATAAAACGAATTCGATTTTCATTTCTTCTTCAATTTTCCCAAACGAACAATGTCCACAAGTTGCACATTAGGGGTTTAATGAGAAAGGTGAAAGTCTCGCGGTTTTGTGAGACACCCCCACAATGCCTGCGAATAGCTCATAATGGTTATGTGACGATTGAGGACTGGTAGCGACAGTCGTGCTGCTAGCATTCGCTCAATTTCGCCCCAAAAATAGGGGCGTCGGGTTGAGTTAAGGGCTAACCTAACCCTTAACCCGACCCCAGCCCCCCTATTTTCAGGGCGAAAGCAGGCGGGTAGCAATCCTCGTGTAAATTCTGGGGGCTTCATGAAACTAGTCCAAATTAAGAACGTGAAAGATTGCAACTGCGGTGGTGTTGCTGGGTATCTATAAGAGTGGCACTACAGGCACACCCTTAGCCACGCTCTCAGCCACACCCCCTCACCTGCTACAGTGCAGGGGGTCCCACCTGAGATTTTTTAAAAAAATCTCAGGTGGGGCCCCCTACACTGTAGCAGGTAAGGGGGTGTGGCTGAGAGTGTGGCTAAGGATGTGCCTGTAGTGTTATTTTATCTATAAACATTAGGAGCAAGATGACAAAATTACGCACACCAATTCCTAGAGAGAAAATAGGGATATGATGGCCTGTTCTGGGCGCGAGTGGCTTTGGGCGGCTGTTGGCAATCCTTTTTTCTTTTCTTTCTTTTTTTTTCGAATGAATGAATGAAGGCCCGCGGGTTGCATGAAATTTTACCCTTTTTAAAGAAAGGATTCTTGAAGCGCTACAGGTATATAATACATCAAGACTACATCAGGAAGCAGCCTGCTCAGATTAGCGTGAAAACATGAAGTTATGAAAACAGCCTGCTCAGATGTACAATACATCAAAACTACTTCAGGAAGCATAAACACCATAATTTAAGATGTCATTCTGGCTGAACTGATACTAGTAGCAATGAACTTGCAAATAGCCTGCAGTACATAATATAAGCTCTTTGACAATAATAATATTTACGACAACTTATTTTAGACGCTCTCCCTCAAGACGAAAGCTCAGACCCTCTAGACGTTGTGCCAACCGACATCTGCTGTTGCTCGAAACTAGGCTGACCATATAAGTCTTGATCCCACTGAGGAATGAGGCTGGGCTTTGACTCCTGAGAGCCCGAAGGATGTGAATTGTGCAAAGGATCACGAGGCAAATCACCCACCCTCGCTTTCTTATGGGGAGATGAGGGTAAATCTTGGGAGGTTGAGGGTGAGTTACAGGGCTTTTGCTTGTCCTCAGAGGCCTGAAGTACACCACCTAGCTTCTGCTGCTCCTCGATGATCTTCTGTAAATATTTCCCCTGGTCCTCAATCCTAAGCTGCAACTGCCTTTGCACCTAAAATGTTTGGAGAAGAAATTCGCACTATACATCAGCTGCATTGCTATTTGTATAGAAGATATTTTTTCAGGTTAATTGAGGATAGAGTCGGTGCTAACGCTCAATTGTGGGTAGACCCTCTGAGTGGAATTGTTTGAACTCTTTTACGCTAAGAAGGTTTATTTGTCAACCCCAAAAAAAAATCCCTTTTCTCTGAGGATAAAAGAGTAGAAAAAAGTTCACTCAAGAGGTCTATCTGCAATAATAGAACTACCAGAGGTCTATCCACAATTCATTGACAGTACATGGGTCTATTTGCAAATTGCAATTAACCCTATATCTTCCAAGTGTGATATATAAAACAAATCGCATGGAATAAATCATTAGTCATGTTGGAAACAGAAAATAAGGAATAAAATTTGAATGTGTTCTTACTGAGGGAAAATATGAGCATGAGTTGTGAAATTCATTTTGGAGGAAATCTAAGCATGAGTCTATCTTATAATTAGCTTTTTAAGTAGTAAAACAATGTGTCATCGGCAAGTATACAGACCTCAAGCTGTTCATGCAACCGCTTCTGCACCTCCATTTGCATTTTCAAAGCTTCATTGATTTGTATTCCACTGTAAAAAGAAAGCAAAAAAGTTTGAATGTCGTATTTTGGATACATTCTGTGCAACAAGAGATACATGCACAGGTAGAACAATAATTTTGGAATACAATATATGACCACTTCTTTGAGTCCAGTTGATATGGCCAGTTCTTATTCACTGTATCTTATTGGAAAGCTTCACAATTTGAAGGGAACCTCCTCGACAACTCAACAAGAAAATTTAAATCTTCCACTAGAATCATTTTGGATAACAATTTCACAGTAAAGAACAGTTCAACATGTAAATTTAATTCTTAATCACTGGTGGATCAATCCAAGTTTTAAGGGAAATCTTTTAACTGCTCAATGAGTTGATAGCATAAAGTGCACAAAGATAATGGAAATCTAAGCAAGCTACTTACCCTGCAGATTCTGTGCCTGAGGAGGTCTCACCAAGATCCTTCTTCTCATCTTTTGAACCTACAAGCAAGGATTTATTTGTTAAATTTACGGCACTTCTGTAATGGCAAAATTAGTTCCAAACTGATATAGCAAATAAGGAAGTCAAACAAAATTTCATTCTGAAGCTTAAGATAAATAAAGAGACTTGATCTTACCATCACCAGGAGACTCAGGCAAATACTTTGCAAGGCGATATTTCTAAAAGAACAGCACAAAACTTAGCATGTTTCACTAGCTCTAAACTGCAAGGTTTTGCAATTAAATGATCTTGCCCTCACCTGTAAATGGCTTTTCACGTGATAGATGGTTATTCCAGGAACACCCATCACTCTCAATACACCTTTTGGTGTTGCTCCTGCAACCCATAATAAAAAGTAATGATTTACAATTGGAACTAAGCGACAATAGAAAGTGATAATTTCCAATTGCACCATAATAGAAAATACCCACTATCTGGTCCACCGAGTTGTGCGATTGCATCAACAAAGCGATCGTGAAGATCGGACGTCCATCTTAGTCGCTGCTTTCCACTTCCTCCTGAATTAGTTGCATTGTTTACGGTGTTGCCCACCATAACTCCAGTATCAGGAGGTTGTTCTGTAGCTTGAGCCCTGTGGGGAACCAAGGGCATTGTTGAAAATTTCTTGGCATGGTACATGGTTATGGACTGTAGCATAGAACATTACAAGCACGAAATTCAATGTCATTAATGAAACATAAATAGCACAAATAGAACAGAAGGTAGAGATATAAGTAAAAAATTACTGTCGAAAAATGCCATAAAAATCATAGAGTTAACTCAGATAAGCATAGCTACAGCCAGTAAATTAATTATACAGAAGAGTGAAATACCAGAAGCAATTAAAACCTTTGCAGAGAATTAGCTGGAGCAATTAAAAAAACCTCTCAGATCTAATGTATATTTACAAAGCTAAGCAGATTGCTTTTTTTTAAAAATAGTTCTTAAAAACTAGTTATAGATTACTGTTAGCTAACCATGTAGAGTTGAAATTCTTGCAGCGTCTAAAAGCACAAGCGTTTTTCTTAACAGCAATTTTGGACAAAACCTATTCAACTACTTCTTTACTAATAGCAACATACAAAATGCTTATCTACGAATACCATGATTATTAGCCTTGAATCGCTACTGCTCCGTCATCATCATAGTTCAGTTTCTATCATCTTCACAGTATCAACATACGAAGATATCTTTGAGCCAATACTCAACATGCAAAGGCCTAGAACGTCAATGGGTAGATAGACCGTGCAATCGACACTGTTTCCTTAGACTAGGAAGAATCTTCTTTGAGGATAAAAAAATGAAAAATAAGCCTGAAACATGTATGGCTATACAGAGGTAGGACTTCAGAAATGAAAACGTCCACGGTGCTCCATTCAAAGGTCACACTTGGCTTCTAAATTCTGACCAGGGTGAACAATTAATAAGAGATTGTGCGAGTACTAAGTAGCTATTTTACAGTAGATCTTCTGAGACCGAATAAGGAACCATAAGACCTTGTGTAGCACAATTGTACAATAAACACCAAAGATCAATGAAGCACAATATCGAAAGTTGGTGCCCTCTTTTGATCTATTCGCCACTAAACTGTTAAACCAAATTTAATAGTCTTTGAACACTTCTGCTAAGAAATGTCGCTCAACTTGTTAAGCATAAGCATAAACATATGATGAACTGTACATCAAAGTAAATATTCAAAAAAATCACTAAGTAGAGTTAAGCGTGCATTACTGTTCCATCCCTGTTTTTAGAATTACCCCACATAAAAAAACCCTCCCATTCCAAACAAAAAAAAAAGAACAATTTCATGAACATCAAACAAAATGAACAGACACAAAAAATGCAAGAAAAATCAAATTTTTACAACAACCCACCTCTCAAAACAGCTGCTTCAAACTCAAACAAGCCCTCATTCCAGCCGCAAAACACAAAATCGCCTCCGATCCTCAAAATCACCTAAAATCAAAAGGCCCAAACTTTCAAACCCTAAACGGGTCCACTGAGGTCAAATTGATGTCCAAAATTGGAAAGAGCAGGTGAGTTTCAAAAGAGGAAAGAGGTTGAATTTGAGGGGAAAAGGGAGGGGAAATCTAGGGTTAGGGTTTCCAATAATCGCCCAGATATTTGGGGAGAAGAGTTGTTAACCTCGAGGCGATGTGATGACGTCGGCCAAATTTATAACTGTCGACATCTCGTGTTCACTGGAGCCCACTGGTGTAATATACAAAGGTAAATGGGTTATTATCATAAAACCCCTCTGTTCTTTAAATTTTGATAAGGTATAGTAATTGTTATTATGAACCCCCCTTGGGCTTTGACTGTGATAAGTTATAAGCAATAACTAGGGTATCGTAAGAAAAAAATTAAGCTCGGGTGTTTCTTGGATAATCTTTCTTGACTTTCAAATTTTCACAAAACTCTCATTATGTTTTAAAATTCTCAGAAAATATCCTTTAACTTTTATCATTTTTCGAAAAACCATTAACAAATGTTAACTACAACTATTTACAATGGTTATTTAGAAATCCCAAAATTTAAGAGAGATTTTGTACAAACCTAACCAACAATAAACTATTATAGCATTAACGGTTGGAATTTCTCATGATCTATTTATATTTAAGCTCCTCTCCAACATGACTATCTACAATTGATCAAAGACTACACTCCTAAAATAAAAATGAAATAGCAAAATATTTGTTAAGAGGAAGAGGTGACAATTTAGAAAAAATAAATATGCATTTAACTTACACATGCTATCTCATATTGGGATAATTAATAGTAAAATTGACGGCATAAAGTTACATAATAAAAAGTAATTGTTGGAGATTTCTAACATGTAGCTTAAAGTTGAAACAGAGTACTCATCCTATCAGAACTGTCTGCATGTGAGCAAACGATTCTCATCCTCTTATGGAAACAGTATGAGGCAAAATAGAAAGTTTACCACAATCTGAGGCTTAAAACCATTTCTTCACATGCGGGCGGTTATAATATAAAGTGTAGTAAATATAACGGATTATATAATATTCATCCTAACCTCTACTGAAAGGGCTAAAACGAAGGTCCATTGTGCAAAATTGTCAAAGTGAAGGGTGTTTAGTCGGAGAAAAGAGGAATCTAGAAATACGACGAAAGGGAATCTATGGTTGGTGAGGTGGTTTATGTAGGAAGATGATTGGGTACTTGTATTTACCGCGGAGGACGGTAACTCAGTGAACTGTTAGTGGTAACTTTGAGAAAAGGACCTGGTTAAGTTTAGAATTTGAAGGACACGGCAGGGAGAAAAGCATGGTTCGCACGTGAGCCGGGTAAAAATGGTCCATGGAGAAGGGCAATAATGATAATGCGGAGGCGTTTGTTTGATGAAAACTTACTTTATGTAATCATTTATTTCTTAATACACAAAAAAAAAATTAGTTTTTTTTACTATTCCATTTTTTCTTTCACTTGCTAACTTAAATTTTTCCCCCTTTTATTTGAACGCTTATATGCATGACCCGAATCTTTTTACCAAAACCAAGTACCCATTTGTTTGGACTACTTACTTTTTCATTTACGATTTTTTTTTCCTTTTTGAGCCAATACCCAAGGGAAAGGTCCCGTTCATCTTATTGATTTATAAAATTAAGTAGGGACACGAAATAGTGTCCTACGGGAATATTAATAGAAATATAGACTTTCTCTCAAAATAAAACATTATACTTTCTCTGTTATTACATCAATGGGGGTGACGAGATGGCCCTAGCTGTCATTCATCACAACGTTGACTTAAAAATGGACCAAAGCCAGCTACATGACCATAAGAGAGGGGAAAAAAGTTTCTAAAAGTATTCTCTACAAAACAGAAACTTACATATGCTTATCTGCATCAAAGCAGACTCAAAAGAAAAAAGAGCAATTACAAAAGCAGTAGTAGAAGGCTTAATTTGTTAGATTTATGCACTTGATCTCCTTATCACTTCTTCTTCTACCACATCTATTGTTTCTGTCTCTTCCTGTACTTTCTGTATAACCTCATGATTGCTCAAAACTGGAACAATGGGAAATTTCTATCCTCCCAAAGCTAACTCAAGGGCTTTTGTAGCCTTTTTCATTTACGTGGAAAATACAATTGAACAAAAAACAAATGATGATTTGAAGTCCTCATTAATGATAAATCTAAACTAAGAAACTTTGTATGAGAGTAGATTTATTTATTGTTTTGTAATGGCTAAACTATCAAATTGACATTTAAAAAGGACTCATTCTGGTATTTAATATATCACCGATGACGATTGAGTATTAAAAGTTGGTTTCCATTACCACATATCTCCAAAATTTGGTCGGAGCTAACTTTTCTGGTGGGAAGATTTCTTCCCATCCTTTGACATCTTAAAATCATTGTATTTTATACACTTCGTCTTCTTTTTCCTCCCCAAATTCAAATCCTAACCACAATATGTAGGCCACCCAAAATTCAAAAAGAAGTAAACCTATACAAATAAAAACTTTTTACCTATTCTCCTTTCAAAACTGAACTCTTCAGAGCTTTCTTATCAAGGATAAAATTATAATATCCCAACAAGATTATCGAGGATAGAATTATAATCCCCCCACCCACCCACCCACCCAACAGATCTCTTCTCGACCAATCTTTAGCTCAACTGACGATAGAACTATAATAACCCAAGAAGATTATCGAGGATCGCAGGCTTTTAAGCACTCAATTTCAGATCTAAGAGGGGTTTCAAGAGGCTAGAATGACTCTAGCATTGGAGCTTGCTCCGGCGAGTGGGCAGGAACCGAATGTGCGAAGGGGAGAGGAGGATAATTAGGATTTGGATTTGGGAAGAATACATACAAATCAAGTCAGTCGTTTTGGATAAGATCTCATTTACAACAAAAGTGAAGACTTGTTGTGTAACTTTAAAAAAAATTGAGCATGCTTGTCAAAAAATCAAGGATATAAAGGAAGAGATCACCTGATCATCAACAACATCTTCAAAGGGAACCAACTCCCCCTTCATCCACTCCATTCTCCTCCTAATGTCTCTAGCCCTAAACTGAAACTCCTTCCTCGACATCGAAAAATAAACCAAATACAACCTCGACAAAATTCCTCTCATGCCCATCATCGACAGTTAGGATTTGGATCTAGGAAGGAGAAGAAGGATGTAAAATACAATGATTTTAAGACATTAGGTGAGCGAGAAAATTCTCCCACCGAAAAAATTAGCTCCGATCCAACTTTTGGAGTTATGTGGTAACCACCCAATCGTCATCGGAGATATCTTAATAAAATGAGATTTAGGGGCTGTTTGGTTCGCTATTATAAGGGGTGGAAAACTTAGAAAACCTCTCCACGTTAGTTTTTTAGCCATCCACGTCAGTTTTTTTGTTGTCGTCCATTTCTTTGTGCCGCTTTGGTTCGCTCGGATGGAAGAGGGAAAACTCTGCTGAAATCGCCGCCACCTCAGATTTTTTTCCCTCTCCGATTTCCTCCCCAACCGAGTGAAATTGATGAAAACTCTGCCACGTCAGCTTTTTTTCCTTCTCTGCTTTGTTTACAAAAGTTTTCCTTTTTTTTCTATGCGAACCAAACACAAGAAAAATAAATACATTAGTTTCTCACCATTTTTTATGTGCGAACCAAAGCAAAACAATCTATTTCTTGGAAAAGTTTGTAAAACTCAAAACTTGTATTTCTTTACATGGAATTGCATTTCCCTATATCAAGGAAACGAACCAAACAGCCCCTTAAGGGAAAAAAAACAGATTTAACGCGCTAGAGGAAGGGTTTGAAAATTCTCCCACCGAGAAAATTAGCTCCGATCCAACTTTTGGAGTTATGTGGTAACCACCCAATCGTCATCGGAGATATCTTAATAAAATGAGATTTAAGGGAAAAAAAACAGATTTAACGCGCTAGAGGAAGGGTTTGAACCTTCGACCTTGAGGTTAACAGCCACACGCTCTAACCAACTGAGCTACTCCAGCAAGTTATACACTGGTCTTCAAGACATTTAATATCTGCTTGATTAGTCTGTGAAATCTAAAAAAAATCAATTGGTAACAACCTAACTTAAAGAGATCTCGTACCTTGCCTTTTTCTCTACACCAACCATTCATGGTCCAAAATTTATCTTTACACTCCACATACTCATTAATATTTCAGGAAGTTCCAACTTCCTTGCTATACATTTTCCCTCCCACGTGTCATAAGCCTTCAAATCTTCTTCATAGAGAAGGAAAAGATTGAAGGTGAATTTGTAGAAGGAAATTAATTTTGCATAATTGTATTTTCCTTTCGTAGTCCTTATATCTGTATCTGATTGGAAGTGGACATGAATATTGAATACCTATACCCAGTGATATGTGGATATTGTTTCAAATTTCTTATAGGTCACAAAATGAAACGGATATTAGTAAAATATTTGTATTTGTATATCCATACATATGCATCGACCATAAAATTGAAATCAGTGTCACCTTTGAGAGGCCTAAACGTAGCTTTTTCTCCTAAGTAAAGAATAACGTAAATATATGTTTCTCTATTCAAATTGTACAAAATCTCTACCACGCGTCCAGGGGGTGTAGCTCATATGGTAGAGCGCTCGCTTCGCATGCGAGAGGCACGGGGTTCGATTCCCCGCACCTCCAAAGTCCCCTCCAAAATTTTTGGTCCCCGTATTTGGAAATAACCCCATAAAATGATTGCTATGCACAACAACCCTTACTAAAACTCAAAATTATATTACACTCAACATTACAATGAGTCTCATAATTTTACACCATGACTCGATCGCTACCTTTTTGCTCATCATACAAACACATCCCTCCTCTTCTTTGGATTTGGTTCTGGATTCCCTTTCTTCATCATCTCCACAAACTCGCTGTAATTTATCCTTCCATCCTATCACACAAAAAAATAAAAAAAAATAATGTCAAAATCAGTTAATGACACCATAACTCAAGAACAAATCTCGCTGAGTACACATGTATGCATACATTATCAGAATCAGCGTCTGAGATGATATCCTTAATGTTCCCTCCATCATACAAGCCCTTCTCCTTAAGCGCCTGCTCGAGCTCTTCAATCGTGATAAAACTGTATATATACATACACAACATATTCGAACAAATTCAAAACCACTAAAGCAGAAAAAACCAATAATTACGGAAAAATTATCGTCACATACCCACTATTATCCTTGTCGAAATACTGAAACGCTGTATACAAATGTTCTTCTCTATCCATTCTATTCATGTGCATCGTCGCGGTGATGAACTCTTCGTAGTCTATCGTTCCATTTCCATCTGCGTCGGCCTGTAATAAATTCAAACACACAAAAGCTTTTAGCCTAGAGTTGTATATATATACCTGTGAATTTTTATGCATACTATTGCAATGCTTACAGCTTCCATTAGTTGTTTAACTTCCATTTCTGACAGTTTTGTTCCTTGCTTTGTGAGACCTTGTTTTAGTTCTTCGAGTGTTATAGTTCCACTGTTATCGGTGTCCATGCCCTTGAACATCTCTTTTAGTCCTCTTATTTCTTCTTCTGATAAACATCCAGCTATTACCTGCACAATTGCAAAATTAGTTTACAGATTTTTTTCCAGCTCGAAGTCAGATCAGCCCGTAATGTTTTACCTCGGAAACCTAATATTTTCAAGTCTATTCGAGTCCTCATGGAGGTTTTCCACTCTAAACATGGACAAAAAACACTATTCTGTTGAGGGTAAAATGTGAATGTTTCTCGCGGCAAACCGCCATAAGGACTCAGTAGACTGGAAACAATAACTACAAGAGCTTAACGCGTTAAAAATATTAGGTTATGGGCTTCTTAGAAATGTTGGCTGAACGTTAGGGGCTGATCTTACTTCGAGGTCGATTTTTGTAAATTTATACGCATTGAAGTTTGTTTGTAGTAAATGTGGCCTACTCTTAATGCAGCTTTCTTGAATTTGTTCATCGCCCTGAACTGCTTCAGTCTGCCGAGTACAGCATTATCAAGAGGTGTATCTGGTGCTTCTCCATCTTCTTTGATCCATGGATGGTCTGTCGGAGTCCAATTATCGATACGACCCGTCAGAATCTCCATATTTATTTTGTTAGGGAGGATAAACTCTGCAAATTCTACTTTTACTATTTAAATTACTTCCATCCAGTTCTAGCTGGTTAACTTGATATTATTAGGAAGTCATCAATTGGTGGATTATTTCAACATAAAAAATTTGTATGAGGCAATTAAGTATGGATATATTCGACTTACGAAATGGATTTACCTTCAATTTTGCAGATACTGAAAAAAAAAAACTGAGAAATAGAGATCAAGTTTTCTTCGAGCTTGGGATGCTGTCAATCTTAATTTTGTTTGAGAGGATTATCTCACAAATTTTACCTTTATTTTAAATACCTCCATAGAGTTTCTAGCTAGTCAACTTGATATGACAAATAGCAATCTGCTAGTTTCTTTGCAGCAACGTAAGGAATTTGTATAAAATACTATATTATATGATAATTTTGACTACAATGATGAATTAACCTCAAATTCTGATAAATACTGAAAAACTACAAGACAGAGGTTGTACATACTTAGAACTTGGAATGCTGTCAATCTTTGTTTGGGGTCTGAAGTTAACATCTTTTTAACAAGATCCTTTGCTCCAGATGAGATACTCGGCCATGGATCAGCACTAAAATCAACATGACCTCGAAGAATAGCGTTGAAAATTCCATGTTCCGATTCTGTTGCAAATAAATGATCATCATATTTATCTTTGATAATACAAACTCATGTTCAAAATGCACATGAAAACTTACCAGCCCAGAATGGAGGAGCTCCTGATAGAAGAATGTATAACATGACACCGATACTCCATATATCGACTTCTGGTCCATATTTTCGCTTTAGAACTTCGGGTGCAATGTAATATGCACTGCCAACAATATCCCTGAAAATTTCACCTGTTTAATGGCATAGAAGAATATAAGGCAAATAGCCAAATCTCCAATCTATCAGAATACTGATAGAAAATAAAATTGCATTTTATTACACTTTACACAGAAAATTATCCTCTCAGGGACATGCTAATCCGATTGTGAATACCATGTCATAACTTTATTCAGACATATATGCAAATTTTCAAACTTGTCGAGAACGCGAAAAAAATAAATCAAGATACATTTTGATCATGATGTTATATTATACAGTTGGATAGAGAAATGAACGGATGTATTCCAACTGTACGGTGTTCTAATTTTACATCATTAACATGTAATTGAAAGGTATAAATCTTTTTCTGATTACACATATGCCTGAAATCAAACAGAAGATAGCAAAAAATTAGATACATGTTTACAGAAACACAATGAAGAGATCTATCTAATTATTCGGTGCTCTAATTATATGAAACTAGTGCTCCTTTGCACACAATGCATAGGTCACATAGAACCTGTGGTATTATGTGGTCGACCTGATAGCGAAAACACACACACACACACACACACATATATATATATATATATATATATATATATATATGTTTGACGCGAAACTTTCGTTAATTTTTCTAGGCATATGGAAATTTCCACTGATTTGTTCAAGTGTCAAAACATATTCCTTTCCTCCAAATATGAGTGAATTTTCAGAATTCTAAAACTTAATCACACAAAGACCAAAAGGGGCTTCTTTTAAAAAATAGTATAGATAGATATCCTATAGATCAAAACAAAACGAGAGAAAAACTAGGCAATTCGAATAAAAAGCCAATTCACCAACCTTCTTTAAAGAACATAGACATCCCAAAATCAGTGGCCTTCAACGGCGAGCTCTCATCCTTATTCAGCAACAAGAAATTCTCCGGCTTAAGATCTCTATGCACAACCCCCATTGAATGACAAGTGTGCACTATCTGAACGATAGTCCTCATCAGTGATGCTGCAGCTCGCTCAGTATAATGCCCCTTTGCGATAATCCTATCGAACAACTCCCCACCCGCGCAAAGCTCCATCACCAGATGCACAGAATGCTTATCCTCGTATGCTCCTTTCAAATCAACTATGTTCGGTTGTCCTGTCAAATGGTACATAATCTGTACTTCTCTGCGAACATCTTCGATATCCTCTTTGGTCTGCATTTTACGCTTGGCGATGGTTTTGCACGCAAATTGCTCGCCTGTGGATTTGTTTGTGCAGAGGTGAGTCACACCGAATTGGCCTCTGCCGAGCTCTTTGCCGATTGAATATGTGGCCTTTACGTCTTCCATTGGGCGGCCTAGGACGGGGCCTATGGGGGCTTGTTTGGTGGGGGTGGGGGATTTTGGGGCCATGGGAGGCAGGAGGGGGATTGAGTTGAGAAAGAGGGAGAGGGGAATTTTGTGTTTTTGAAAAAATTAGAGGTTGAGAGAGGAGAGTGCAATTGTTGCTAATAATAGGAGAGGGTGTTTTTAAAGGGGGGGAGTGAATGGAGGGAAGCAACGGCCATCTGAAGAATCAAAATAATATTCTTTTAATGCATGTGCATTGTGATATATTATGAAGTATTTCATTTATTCTCAAATTAAAAATTTTGATGTAGCTATGAGCATGACTTAACTTCGCATTGTAAAATGGTGCCAACAAGTTTAAAATCATGATTTTTTTTAAATCAAATACCATATTTCATCAGCATTTTTTATACTAGGTTTTTGGGTTTGAAACTGTCACATTAGATAGATGGATCAAATATTATCTATGACAGTTAGGCTGAATTTCTGTCGGATTTTCTTAGTCCAATATTCTCAATAAAATTCATATGCAATCAAACAAATTGGAGTTTTTTTTCTTCCTCAGAAATTCTCTTCAATATCAATTGCAAGCATATAAAATTCCCTTAATAAGATAAATCATTAGGACTATTATAGAGTACAAAATTAACATTTAAATTGGCATCATAAACTTTAGAGTTCTGATACAATAGAATAGACTTGAAAGAGCGATACAATGGAATAGACTTGGAAGAGCGCCTCAAGTAGTAGCAACCTACATCATGAGTCAAGCATAAGGCACGGAAGACAGTCAAAACTTCAATCATCAAAGGATCATGAAAATGCTCAAGAGGTCAAGCGAAAGCAGCCAAAATGGACACCGTAGAGTCTCGGATGAGCGCTCCAACACTAGACTTAAATGAAGGAGTCATCTTCCGGCATTACAGATTCATATGGGCCTTTCCCATACCCCTAAAGGTTAAAATCTTCTTTTGGATTGCTAGCAAATACAAATTAAATACTATGGATAACTTGGTGTTGAAAGGATGGCCTGGCAATCCAATTTGCCCTATCTGTAATGATGCAAATGAATCCCATGACCACCTGTTCATTAAATGTGGTTACTCTTCTTTAGCATGGTCTTCTCTCCTTCCCCATGTTCCATCAACAGCTTGGCCTCAAAACTTGGAGGATATGATATCTTCCAATTTCAGTTCCTCTTGCAATCAAGATCTTGCTATTATCTGGAAGGTTTTGCTTTCGTGTTTCTGCTGGTGCATATGGAACTGTCGTAACAATTTCATCTTTAATGGCATTGAAGCTCCTCCATCCCACATCACTGCTAATGTGGCAAGATTTGTTTTATTTTGGACAGGCTCCTCTGCCAACAGATCAGGTCTCAAGCTTCATAAGGCGGCTATCAACATGGGCATGAAGAATATTGCCCAAACTCACAATGAAGCAGAGGTGGCTAGCAACTTTTCAGCAGCAACCTGACTCTAGTCGCCCTATTCCCAGAGCTGCAGTTCCAACCTAGCTTTTGATGGATATTTTGGTATGTGTTCTAAGTGTTAGTAGTATGAAGTTGCACTATGTGGTTTTCCGACCTAGCTTTTGTTGGATATTTCGGTAGGTGTTCTAAATGTTAGTAGTATGAAGTTGTTCTCTGTGGTTTTTGAATTTGTACTATGTTGTTTTGTGGGTTTTTGTTTGGGGTCCTGGTACTTCCCCAGTCTCTTAACACAGACCAATTATGTACATTAATTTTATTATCATATATATATATATATGCAGGGATCCTCACCTTGTTTCTATTCAAAAAAAATCTGGCTAAAGGAAAAGAAATCCAATAATAAAACTCTAATGAAACAAATCTATAGTAAATGGCAAGCCAAATTTTCAAATTAAAATGCAAGTATCATTGTAATAAAGTGGATGTCTCTGTGCACGTTAGCAACTGGTTTGATTTCCCAAAGCAGTGAAAACTCTGCCGACAATTCAGTAGTCTTCCCTAACCCAATTCTGTGGATGAAGTTGGGGATATTATTGAGAGGCTTTTTGAGAGCAAGAAATATGTGGAAGTAGCTATGGAGAGGCTCTATCAACAGTCAAATTTTAAGTATATATGTACTTTATATAGCTATATATGTACTTATAAGTATATATGTACTTTATATAGCTATATATATATAGCTATATATGTACTTTATATAGCTATATACGTACTTATAAGTATATATGTACTTTATATAGCTATATATACTTATAAGTATATATAAATATAAGTATATTCTCTCTTATATAGCTATATATACTTATAAGTATATATAAATATAAGAGATATATACATATATACTTATATTTATATAGCTATGGAGAGGCTCTATCAACAGTCAAATTATGATGGTTTTTGGTTCCTTGCGGCGGCGGCGGCAATGTCAAGAGGACCTGGGCTACATGTATTTCTGGGTAAGCGGCGGCCGCGCTGATTGCAAGAAATCTTCGGAGGTTTTCGATCGGCGCAGCCGGAAGCAAAGCCGAGCAGCGCTGGCCTGGTGGTGAACGGGGTCTGGTCTGAAGGCAGCAGGGGAGCGAAACGATTGAGAAGGCCTTCAATTGATTAACCATGTGTCATGGGACAGCCATGGCTTGGAGGTGCCTGCAAAGAAAAAGGTAAAATAAACAATCGAGGAAATCAGTTCTTGAACTCCAGCATTTTATATATACTAGTTGAGATGAACGTGCAATGCACATGGTTGAATATTATGATTATTTAAATTGATAAAAATAGAGTAAAAATAAAAAAAGAAAATAAAGTTTTTTTGTGAGATTGATCATCAACGCAATAATCTCTCTCAAATAAAATATTGTTATTATTTTTTCAACCCAAACTATAACCACATGATCTACTGTAGGCGTCTAAAAATGCCTATAGGTATCCACACACAGCTCGAGACAGAGAGAAGATGACGGACATTGTTATCCGAGTCTAAGAGGATTATCTGACGCCGACAAGCGCCTGAAGCAAAACGGCGAATCAAGTGACCTGCGCGCTTGACAGTCAGCTCGCGCGCGCCAATCAGCTCGCATGCGTCAATCAACACGCACGCGTCAATCAACTCAAAGCATATAAATCAACGAAGCGAACCAAACACGTGACAAGAACAAATCCCGGAAGAAAGAAACCAAAAAAGGGAGAAAGTCGGCGAACCCGCGCTAAGCGCAGGACGGAATGATCCGACCCGCGCGAGCGCGGGTCACAATCGTCCAAGTCTCGGGATCTAAGACCAAGCTTAGATCCGGAGTGTGATCTCGTGTAGATCTCAGATCTGTTCTTCCCTTCTCTCGAACTCCTGCCTTTTGTGACGTGGACTCTCGCCGAGAACCAGATCTAAATATTCAAGTCTTCAAGTCTTCAAAACTCTAAGCTCAATCTTCAATTCGGTAGAGTTTCAGCTCTCAAAGTTCTAACCTTTTCAAATGAACCAAGGGGAGCCTATTTATAGGCTCTCTGAACTGTGCCCGCGCACAGATCTGGGTCGGCCACCTATGGGTGGCCGGCATTGGGCCGAGCCACCCATGGGTGGCTCGGTCTTGACCGAGCCACCCATGGGTGGCTCGGCTTTGGCCGAGCCCCCCCTTAGGCATTGGGTTTCGTCGTTTTGTCCGGTCTCGTGGTTGATTCGGACTCTGATTTGTTGATCTAATTTGGCAGTAAATTCACTTCTGAGTTTGAGTCCGAAACTGATCTTGATTCGATCGTGATTCGTCCGAGTCTGCCCTTGGTTGGATGACTCGTTGACTCTTCGAACACTTGGCTTGATTCCACACGCGAATGGATGTATTCCGTTGCTTGCGTACGATTCGTCAACCTCGTCGCCTCGTTGGTTCGTCGGTTTGTGCCGAGCTGTGCTAAGGGACCTATAAGTAATTTTATACGCCTACAGATACCCCCTCCAAAGTATTTCAGCCTCGTTCTTTTATAGAAGAGTCTGGAATACTTTGGATATGATTGTCCCAACCTTCAGTCGGTGTAACGGGACCCTGGAATGGCTTCTGTTCTTGATTCCTTCAATCCTCCAGGCTATTCGGTGCTTTGTCGAATGTCTGTAAGAGTTCCGGTGCTGCATTTATTGTCTGACCGTTGTCGGAATTTTAACTTGAAGTCGATTCCTGATTTTCTAATCTTTAGCTGACCATCGATTGTTGGCGTTAAGTCTTTATTTGCGATGCGTTGTCCGGCGTAGTGTTGTTGAGTTATCCTTAAGAATATTTATAAAAATATTCTCCAGGAACTTCTCAACCAAAAATAGGGAATAGTTTATACTCATATACCTTATTGGAGTTATTTCTATGCTCGAATGAGCTGAACCGGCCTGATAATGAGCTGAACCGGTTTGATAATGAGCCAAAAAAAACAGTAATTTGGCTAAAAAAAAAAATATTCCGATCCTTCCGAATGTGTGGGAGAGGCAGGAATAAACAAGGGATTGAACCCTCGGTCGATTTGAAGTTGTTTCGATGCTCGATTCAGCTTCAATTCGAATTCTGGTTCGAATCTGGTTCAAACTAGTTCAATCTGGTTCAGGACTGGTTCACCCTGGTTCAAAGCTGGTTCAGACTGGTTCAAGACTGGTTCAGACATGTTTGGTCTGGTCTGGTCTGGTTTAGCCTGGTTTGGTCTGGTTCAGCCTGGTTTGGCCCCTTTTGAACTGATTTGGACTGGTTTGGTCTGGTTCAACCTGGTCTGGTCTGGTTCAAGACTGGTTCACATTATAAAAGGGGTTCTTTTTCCTCCCCTTTTCCTCCTCTAGGGCCGGCCCCCTTTTACTCCTCCTTCTTGGATTCCTCTTCCCTCTTGCATTCTTCATAAATACCCTAGATCCATCCTTCCTTTGGATCTTAGGCTGAAAAATCCCTCAAAAATCTTCATACAGAAATTCCTCTCAGGCCCCTCGAGCACGTGGTCTGAGCCTCTTTCAAGCTTTGATTTTTGTCGGATCTTCGAGCTTTCCCTCAGGTAAATATCCTCCATA